ACTCATAGAATTTTAATTTATTCTGTTCAAATAATCATAAATTATGTTATGTATTCATATTTTAGTCAAGGAGCAATGACAAATGTCGTCTATGAGCCGTTTCATCCTATTGTAATTCATATAGAATAGTAGTATTAGTTTTAAGATAAAAGAAAATAAGTCAAATTGAGAAATAATACAAACTATGAACTTGTTGGTAAAAAGTTGAACGGTGTGGCATACCAATTCCTAATAATGCAAGTACAAATTGAGTAGTGTCATACGGCTTGTCCAAACGTAACGCTGTTACGTTTTTGACACACTCTTCTTCAATTATCTCGGAAAGTTTAAGAGCTAAGAAGTTCGTTCAAACGTCATTCGACGCAGCTTATCAAGCTCTCTTTATCCCATAAGAATGACCTTTTTTGGCTGAAGTCTCAGACATCTAGAAAGGTTTTATCATGCCGTAACGCTGTTACATAAAAAGACCCTTTTTTCCAGTACCATCGAGAAAACTCTAATTTCTTGCAAAACCATTTCTTCAAACGTAATGCTTCGAGAGTCAATCTTGTAGAGCATTGAATAGGCTTTCAGGCAGTAAAAAGATTTTCTCTAAAGCATTTTCGTTCAGATCAAAAATGCAAAAAACAAACGTAACGCTGTTACGTTTTTCGTAACGCTGTTACACAGTTTTTTGTTGACCGATTTTGAGGCCCTTAATGTTCTCAGAATGAGTTGATTTTTATAAGCGTTACTGTCTTCTATGCGGATACTCTCCTATACAAAAATGAGATTGATACATCGATCTAAGAGCTTATAAACTGAGCAAGAAATTGGAAACTATATAGGAGTCTCCAATTTGTTCTAAGCTACGAAAGTCAAAACTAAATAGACCATTTTGTAGAGAATTTAATTCTGCATCTAATGGTATGTCTCTTGACATTGATTGCAAAACTTTTTTGTTTAAAAAGTCCAAAATACGGTTTTTGAAAAGTTTAAAACCCGATTTTCGATAACAAAACCTAATTTTTATACAAAATAAATATCAGATTCGTAATCAGCGTAAAAATCTGCATCTAGCAACTCACTCAAATCTGTCCAACTCGAAAACAAATTTTTTCAAAACTTGATCAGCGAAGTGTCGCGTTACGCGGACAAGCCGCATAACCAGTTCCACTTATTGCACTTGCTGCATATAAACGTTGATTAGGTTCTTGAATTTGACGTGAAGATTGAGCAGGAAAGTTGGTTAAGTCTGTCATTTTATTACAAATAGAACACTTCAGTCCATTTTTGTGAAATAATCCAAAGCTTTTTCCACTATCAATAATCAATTCAAGTCGACCACCAGGGCATATATGAGCTTTATCAATACATTCTTTCAAATGATTCACATCGAAAATTTGACTTGATCGTTCGACAACTTCATGAACTGAAGCACTATAAAAGATCGAATCTTGAATATTATTATTAAAAAAAAGTATATCTTACCTTTCAATCGATAATCGTATCTTTTCAAAACTACGTGAAGTAAAATTTCCATTAGAAATTGTTTTTGTGTTGGAGTTGGTTGATGAGTATGTCTCATCAATTGAGTTCATTGGCATTATTTGATCAGAACTTGTTGAAATGGATGATGAGCGAAGAACTCGATCAGACATTCGAATAGGAGAAGATTTATCAAAATATTCATCATCAAAACTTTCATCAGAAGACATTCTTTTTTTTTAATAGCAATTATCAAACAAATTAACGTTTAATTATAACGGTCTACCTTATTATCTTGTTCTTTGTATTCAATTTATTACTGTATTAATAATAATAATAATCCGATTTTTTTATCAAATTGAAAAATAAATTTATTTCAGTTTTATCATAGATGTGTGAGAATGAACAATTCCAATAATACAACATAACAGATGTCACTTGTGACTATACTTTTTTTTCTCTATTTTTATCAATGATCAGTTCAGTACGTATTTATGATTATTTGAACAGAATAAATTAAAATTCTATGAGTCCTTT